AACAAGTTTGTTAACCATTACACCACGCTGAGGTTGCCATGCTATTGGTATATCCCGTGAGAGAGTTGAGAATATTCTGAGTTTGACATGACGAAGATTTATGACGTTGGGTGCCACGTCTTCTGAGCCCTGATCAAAAGGTACACCATGCTGATCACATCAACGGAAAATCTGACAATTGGATTCCTTAAATGTTTACTAACCGAAGACGACTGTTGTATCCATCACTTTTGAGTCAGAGACAAAGAGACAATTCATGCAGTGGAAACACCCCTTCCCACCTGTTCCAAAGAAGGCCATGGTCGGTTCATCTATAGGAACGGTGATGGCCTCAGTTTTTGGGGGATACAAAAGGCATTGTGTTTGTTGACTATCTTCAAAAGTGCCACAGCATCAATGAAGAGTATTATGCCAATTCGCTGAGGCAGTTACGAAAGGCTATCAAGTCAAAACCCCCAGAACAAAACTGACGAATGAAGCCTTGTTTCATAAGGGCAATGCTCCAGTATATGTCCTTCGTTTCAAAAGGTACGAGACTGTGGATTTGAATTTGTCGATCACCTTCCTTATTCTCCTGATTGCATGCAATTACAAGTAATCCGTAATAAAATTTTAAATTTTGAAATCACATTTATTTCTGGCATATGTTTTTTTTTAAAAAACTGTTACTATATCTTTCATTGTCTTTCAATCATTCTGCCTCACCTGCTATACTTTTCCGTCTCAACTGTGAGGCGCGCTGAACCGTTTGGGAACCACTGGGCTAAACAAAGGAATCAAATCTCTGTTGCCACCGCCAAGCTATGCGCGTTGGTGCAACTGTAGTTTCAGCACCAGGTTATACGTGTCGGAGATGCCAGCCCGAAGCACAACCAGTTTTGAAATCAGATATCTCCTATTATATTACGAAGATATTGAACTGTCTTTTCTTTGCTTTAACGAAACTTTCTCTTATTTTTTTTTTTTTTTTAAATGTTTCTTAATGTTTGGAAGGCATCTTTCTATATATCAACGTGCCTTCGGAGTTCTGAGTCACATTTTTACCGTATGTAAAAACATTTCCCAGACATTTAAAATTTCTGTACTGGCTTTGAGATCTCTAATACGGTGTGTGCAACTTGGGCTGCCCATATCGCTGGCAGCCACACATTCTGATAGCTTACATTTGGAGCAGACTATGTAAGAAGATAGGTTCACCTGCCTATCGTTCTATTCCCACACTTCCTTGGGATTTTTTTTTTTTTTAATATGAGTAGAGGTTCCATTTTTTTTTTTTTTTTGTCTCCTGTTTGGGATTCGGCTTCCAGTACTTTTAAAAGACTTCACTTTCCAACTCATACCTTCGGTTTTAGTGGCATTATCGCCTTGCTTGGAGTGAACTAAAAAGTTGTTTTTTTTCTTTCTTCTCATTACTTCATTGTCGAAGGTTTCCTGCATTTTTCTTATCCGTCTGCCATCAACACGGTGTCGTCTGCGTATCAAAAGCTGCTATTTAATTCATACTTTTTGGTTAGAAAATGGTTGGATTCATATCTTTCCAATGGACTTCTATGTAAAAGGTAAAGCCACCGACGCGGTAAGAGTTAGACTCGGCTACCCGATCCCCCTTTCAGCATTGATACCAACGCGAACATGGTAACACTAGATTGAAAATGGCGGAAAATTTGAACAGAGATCACAAGAAATTCGTTTGAAAAGATCTATATTGATAATATTTTCATAATTCACTTAAACTCATAATACTTATTTCTATTTGCATCCTCATGCAAATTGTCCATCAAGCAGTTATTGTTAGCGGAAACTTAAAGGTTCTTTCCGTGTAGATCAACCTTTCATAGTTTTTTAACATCTTCGTGTAGTATTTTATCGAATTCCTGTGCGTAATTTATCAAACATAAGACTAGATATTCTGCACTTCCTTTCACACTGGTTGGAATATGATAATGAAAATTGAATTTCTTGTTCCAGTGTCTTGTGTAATTGTTCTTTCAAGGTTTGACTCTGCTATCAGCTTTGTTCCTGAGAAACCTTACTCCTGAATTTAATGATGTATCTCATTCCTGATTGTTTTCTTGGGTTTAAATTTTAATACACGTTTTGTTCATACGTTACTTTTATAGATACAAATATTTAATTAAATGCCATTTTTATAAGATTCAGTATTAACAACATTTATCGGCCTGAATGTCCGAGAAATCCCAAAGAAAATATATGTCCTCCGACGGTAATCGAACCTGTATCCTACACGGAACCGTTTATAGCCTGACATGCTATACCGTTTCTGAGACATTCAGGCCGGTAAATGTTGTTAATACTGTTTATTGTAAACAGAGCATTTACTTAAATATTTATATCTACATATAAAATTCAGAAATTATCGAAAATTAAACAAAAATATATATTGAAATAATTGTCGGACTTCGTCTATTTCATAATATATCAGTTTAAATTCACTTACTCCCATTTCTTTGAAACGATTATGAAGATTTATTCCCTTAGGGCTTATGTCGATGTTATGTTGTAATATATTCAATTAACCTCCCAGAATTAAAAGTATTGATAAATACTTTGATAAGAAAAATTTGATTAAAACTATATTTAATGAATTGGGATGAAATATAGACCAAATATGACTAGGAATCCGACATAATGATAGGATAAAGAACAAAAAAGAAACGCTTATAAATCTAATATGTTTCGCTTTCAGCAAAGATTTATCAGAGAATGAAATGTCTATGAGAAAAAGGAAATTCTGGTATATTTATTTTGCGTTGTTTGATTTTTATTAAATGAGCATACTTCACTAATATTTGACTTGTCAAGCAGCGTTCATGCGTATAATTTATGCGTGAATATGTACCATAATTTTAGATTGCCTAACCGGGATTCGGCTGATAATGTATATTCGTATGTATGTGTGTGTGTATATGTGCGTGTGTGTGTCTGTGTGTATTTAGCAGGCATTGTTTATGTTTGGTGGTTGTTCATATGTTGATTTTGGATTTTATGTAAACAGTGGTTGTGGTAGACGGACACACGTTCGATACTTTAAAAAGTTTGTGATGAAATATAGTGCTTTTGTCGTGTGTTTTAGTTGATAAAATATTTATTAGGATTCCCTCGAAATAATACATTGAATAGTGGCAAGTTTAGCGTTTTGGAAGATGGGAAAGGCTGAAAACACCATCGGCCGTAGTGTGTCGTTTAAGATTGTAGATATGCGAAAATTGCTCTTACTAACTTTCTTGCGTATTCATTAAAGTTACAAAGTATCCCTTAATAATCAAAATGCAAAATAAACATATAATATTTTCAAAGTGAGTTCGTTGAAAAATTGGCTCACAAATAAGCCTCCTCGAAAAATTTAAAGAGAAAGCGAGTGAGTAAAAGGGAAAAAAACATAGAAAGATAAGACAGAAAGTGAGAAATAAAAAGAAAGAGAGGATAAAACTTTTTTGTACATCTTATCATTCGGATCTGGGCCAAAGATTTAAGCGTTGTCAAGTATCAATTTCAAATTGTCTTCAATGCACCATTAACATTTGATATATTTTATATCTTTCAATTACTTCTTTTTCCTATTTTTCTTTAGTTTTTCTTTTATTTTCTCGCTGAAAAATGGAAGAAAAATATTCGGTTTCTGATTACATTATAAGTTATGTCCGAATTTTAAAAATGTTTTTTATTATTATTATTATTATTATCATCATCATTCGATTTCTGCTATGGACACACTACCTACCAAGTCTGCGGAAAGACCTAAGGCAGGTCGTGGTGTGTTGTTATGGCCACATTTCATGTTAATTTTTTTTTTTTTTTTTTTTTTTTTTCTCCGATGAAGTTGCTAGCGTTACATAGACAAAGTTCTCCTTAGTGTGTGTGCTGTACTTAATAAGACAATTTTCTGTATGTCTCTTAAGCTGGGGTTTCAGGGGATTCTTTCAATGTGTTGTTTTGTTCCATTTTTATAATTCCAAGTGCACCTATTACCACTGGTATTATTCTTGTTTTCAATTTCCACATTTTTTCTATTTCAATTTCCAGGTCTTTGTATTTTGATAGTTTTTCAAATTCCTTGGTTGCTATGTTACAATCCGCTGGACAAGTTTGCATCAATTAGTAGGCAAGTTTTTTCTTTCTGGTTTTTGACAATAATGTCCGGCCTATTTGCTTCAATTTTTCTGTCTGTGTGGATGGTATAATCCCATAGAATGGTGACATCTTCTATTTCTGTAACCGGCGCTGGCCGATGTTCATACCAGTGTTTGCTTACACATTTTCCAAAGTGTTTGCACATTGTCCAGTGTAAGTATTGCCCCACTCTATCGTGACGATTTTTATATTCATTTGGGGCAAGTATAGAACATCCTGAGATTAGATGGTCTATTGTTTCTTGGTATTTGTCACAGAACCTGCATTTTGGATCCACATTATTATGTATGATATTTGCCTGAAAATTCCTAGTGAAAAGACTCTGGTCTTGCGCTGCAAGAATAAAGCCTTCAGTTTCAGACTTTAATCCAGATGCTCGTAACCATCGATGAGTATTAACTTTATCAACATTGGGTTTATTTGCACGTTCTGGATATTGGCCATGCAGAGGTTTGTCTTGCCAGCGTTGTTTCATCTGTTCAAGGGCTTTATCCTTGGCTTTCTTTTTCATATCTTTTGCTGCAATAGTTGGTTCTTGGCTTCTGTTTTGATTTACTACAGAATCTACTAAATGTAAATGTTGTTTGTATTTACTGCCTTCTTTTATTATTGAATATTTTTTCTTTCTGTTTTCATGTTGTTTCACTAATTTTATCATCCAGTCATTTGTTGTTTCCATGTAAGTTAGTAAGCCAATAGTTGTTGTCTTGTATGACAATTCTAGCTGAATAAGTTATTATTATTATTATTATTATTATTATTATTATTATTGTAGTAGTGGTAGTAATAAATGGCGGGTTTTGAATTTCGTGATGTTTTCGTTTCGTTTTTTTTTAATATTAAAAAAAATGCTGTCATCACAAAAAAGTAATTCCTTCGTTGCATTTTTTATTTCCTTTATTTCTTTAAACTTCATTTTTCATTTAAAAAAATGTCTCTATTCTTTACTTTTTCTAAAAACTCCGATTCTATCTCTCTATCTATCTATCTATCTATCTATCTATCTATCTAAGCTTATTCTTATCTTTCTCAGGCTCTATCTATCTATCTATCTATCTATCTATCTATCTATCTATCTATCTATCTATCTAAGCTTATTCTTATCTTTCTCAGGCTCTATCTATCTATCTATCTATCTATCTATCTATCTATCTATCTATCTATCTATCTGTCTATCTAAGCTTATTCTTATCTTTCTCAGGTTGTATCTATCTATCTATCTATCTATCTATCTATCTATCTATCTATCTATCTATCTATCTGTCTATCTAAGCTTATTCTTATCTTTCTCAGGTTGTATCTATCTATCTATCTATCTATCTATCTATCTATCTATCTGTCTATCTATCTATCTATCTATCTATCTATCTATCTATCTATCTAAGCTTATTCTTATCTTTCTCAGGCTCTATCTATCTATCTATCTATCTATCTATCTATCTATCTATCTAAGCTTATTCTTATCTTTCTCGGGCTCTATCTATCTATCTATCTATCTATCTATCTATCTATCTATCTAAGCTTATTCTTATCTTTCTCGGGCTCTATCTATCTATCTATCTATCTATCTATCTACGCTTATTCTTATCTTTCTCAGGATCTATCTATCTATCTATCTATCTATCTATCTATCTATCTATCTATCTATCTCATTCTATTTATATCTCCCTATCTCATTGCATTCATCTCTGCGTATATATATATATATATATATATATATATATATATATATATATAGAGAGAGAGAGAGAGAGAGAGAGACTGAATATATATATATATATATATATATATATATATATATATATATATATATATATTCCAGTCTATTCATATCTTTTATCATTAGAATTTACACTTTATCGTCAACCAATCTATCATGCTTGCTTTGAATTTGATATTTCCGCTAATTTTTAAATCGTGTATACTTCTTCCTCTTCTTTACACGCATAGACTCACACGCACAATCACAGACACACACACACACACATATATATATATATATATATATATATATATATATATATATAGAGAGAGAGAGAGAGAGAGAGAGCGAGTTAGAGAGAGAGAGAGGATCATGAAAACACGCAAACACACTAAAAAAATGCTCTCAATGCAATTTCTGCAATATTTGCTCTGCTGGCCAAGGTCCTCAGAGGCGGTTGGTGCTGATTTGGCAGTAAAGTACGAACCACCGCAAAAATAACCCTATACTCTTCCTTACTTACACGTTTTTTTTCTGTTTAATATTGTTCACCCAATATGAGTCCAAGTAAGGTTACTGAATGGAAATATTGAAAAGACCTATAAGGAAGAAGCTACAGTTGCATATCAGCATGATATGTAGGATAGATAAGCGTTAATCTTTGATTTGTAGTAGTAAAGATTTTTTCGATCAAGGAAGCTTTCCCGGGGGCCTCCCTTGCACGTTGCAACAGTTTTAGGATAAAAAATTGTCTGAGTGGAACTTAACTACTTCCCAAGAGAATATGAAGGGAATTTGCATGAGTCGATTCCGTGTACATAGCAGAACGCTTCCTAGGTTTGAAGATCCAGACAGATGGAATCAATGTACGTAGTTCGAGGAATATCTACTATGAAAATAACGGCAGAGAGGTTAGCAGCATTTAATCTGTAGGATAGTTCGTGAAGGGCGGAAAATAATTCATCATCCATAAGGCTGAGAAAATGATTTTAAACTCAATCGGAAGTTACAAATAAAGTGTAGAAAAATCCGAATTAGATGGGGCAGCAATACTGCATTTTTGTTTAGATCTTGTAGTAGATGGAGTAAGGAAGGAAAAGTCGGGCACTTTTATCAGCGGTACCAAAAGCAGAAAATTTTGGAATCATCTCTAGTGCTGATCCGATTTTAATTGATGTCACTATCCCCATCTATCTATCTATCTATCTATCTATCTATCTATCTATCTATCTATCTATCTATCTATTTCAGTTTCTTCTTATCTTTCTCGGGCTGTTTGTATCTATTTATTAACCTAGCTATCTATCCAAATCTCTTCTCATCTATTCATATCTATCGATCTATCTATCACAATGCCCCATTTTCGGTTTGATCTTGGAATAGATGGAGCAAGGAAGGAGGAGTCTAGTACTTTCCTGAGCGGTACAGGGAGCTGACAATTTTGAGAGCATCCCCAGTGATTATCCGATTTTCAATTAATTCAGTGTCCAGCTCTATCTATCTATCTATCTATCTATCTATCTATCTATCTATCTATCTATCTATCTATCTATCTATCTCAGTTTCTCCATATAATTCTCAGGCTGTTTATATTTATCTGTCTTTGTCTCTCAATCCCCCCTCTCTCTCTCTCTCTCTCTCTATATATATATATATATATATATATATATATATATATATATATATTCCAAGCCATTCGTATCTATTTATCATTAGGATTTACACTTTATCGTCAACCAATCTATCATGCTTGCTTTGAAATTGATATTTCCGCTAATTTTTAAATTGTGTACACTCATTTCTCTTTCTTACACGCATAAACGCACACGCACAATGGCGTGCACATACACACACACACACACACTATATATATATATATATATATATATATATATATATATATATATATATATATATATTTATTTATTTAGAGAGAGAGAAAGAGAGAAAGAAATAGATTGAGGATCATACAAAAACGCAAACACACTCAAGAAATGCCCTTAATGCAATTCCTGCAATATTTGCTCTGCTGGCCAAGGTCTTCAGAGGCGGTTGATGCTGATTTGGCAGTAAAGTACGAACCACCGCAAAAATAACCCTATACTCTTCCTTTCTCACACTTTTTTTCTGTTTAATATTGTTCACCCAATATGAGTCCAAGTAAGGTTACTGAATGCAGATATTTGAAAGACCAATAGGGAGCGAACAATAATTGCATATCAGCAGGATATGTAGGATAGATAAGCGTTAATCTTTGATTTGTAGTAGTAAAGATTTTTTCGATCAAGGAAGCTTTCCCGGGGGCCTCCCTTGCACGTTGCAACAGTTTTAGGATAAAAAATTGTCTGAGTGGAACTTAACTACTTCGCAAGAGAATATGAAGGGAATTTGCATGAGTCGATTCCGTGTACATAGCAGAGCGGTTCCGAGGTGTGAAGATCCTGACAGATGGAATCAAGGAAAGTAGTTCGACGAATATCCCTTATGAAAATAACGGCAGAGAGGTTAGCAGTATTTAATCTGTAGGATAGTTCGTGAAGGGCGGAAAATAATTCATCATCCATAAGCCTGAGAAAATGATTTTAAACTCAGTCGGAAGTTACAAATAAAGTGTAGGAAACACCGGATAAGATTGGGCAGCAATACTACATTTTTGCTTATATCTTGGAGTAAATTGAGTAAGGAAGGAGTCGGGTACTCTCATTGGTGGTACAGGTAGCCAACAATTTTTTAAGCATCTCAATTGCTGATCTGAAAGAAAACAATGAAGACATTCTTGATTCAATTCTATAAATCTATAAATCGGTGAATATTCAAGACGGAAAAGTCTGGTACTTAGAATTTGAATTTCGCACCACGTGACTTTCAGGAGATAATTTAAAAATATATCTGGTTAGCTTGAGCTGCTAATTAGAATTAATTCAATTAAAAATCTACTAATGTTAGACTTTCAAATATTGAAGCCCAGTTCGCCATTTGTAATCCAATATGGAGATGTTGAATTCAAAATACATTTATTATAAACTCATGCAAAATCTACTTCATCTTGTCCAGAGCTGGGCTGACCCTAAAATCTTGTGTTATGTTTCTTTCCCTGCTTTTGTGCACTGAGCATGTGTGCGTCAACGGGGTTTTAGAGAAAATGGAAACAAAAAGGTAACCTATACTCAACAGAAAGCTAAGCAGAGTATTGAGAGACATAAAACAAACTTCGCTAGAAACAAATAAAAGAGTACTGAAATGTTACGTGATATCTGTGATCCTATATGACAGTGAATGCTGGAAAATCTGCTCAAAAATGAAGAAAAAAACTTGAGGAAACAGAAATATGGTTCTACAGGAAGGTGCTGGGGATACGATTTGCCGAACATGTGAGCAGCGACGAGGTTTAAGAGAAAATGGAAACAAAAAGTATACTTAACATCAGAAAGAGGCAGTTGAAATTTCTGGAGCACCTAATGGAAAAGGAGGGCTTGGAAAATCTGATACTCACAGGACAGATTGTGGGAAAGAGGGACAGAGGAAATCAGCGCGTAATATAATGGATGGGCGTCAGGAAATGAATGGTAGAACGGCGTTTGGGAGAAATAGCAAAAAGACAAAACTTATTAAGAGCTACAAGCGACAGGGAGATGTGGAGGGCCATGATCGCCTACATCCAGAAAGAAAAAAGACATAAAAAGACAGTTTTTTTTATTTGTTTTCTTTTGCCATTTTGATTCTTCCCGCTTTATGACTGGTGAAGAGAACATTGTGTGATATTGTTCTTCCTTTTGTCTTTTTGGTCATGAAGTTACTTTGGTAAATATCTGGTCATCCCATAAGTTCTGTCCGAATTTTGAATAAAGAAAACAAGTGACCAAATGTTACATTTAATTACAGATTCAATCAACAATGTATTTTCCCTGATTATCTATGACTTCCTTCCATCTATTAAAAAGCTTACTAATTCCATTACTGTAAAATTCTTTTGGCTTTGATTCGAATAACTCACAAATATCAGTTTTAACCTCTTCTTGTGTTACAAAAGCTGTTTCTTCCAAATGATTCTGTAAGCTACGAAACAAATGATAGTCTGAAGGAGCAAGATCGGGAGAATAAGGTGGATGAGAAATTTTCTCCCTACCAAGTTCTTCGATCTTTTGTGACGTGATTCTTGCTGTGTGGGGTCGCGCATTGTCCTGATGAAACATTACATCTTTTCGATTCATTAGAGCAGGTCTTTTTTTTTCCTCAAAGCTTGGTTCAAACGCTCTAAATGCCCAGAGTATATTTGAGCATTAATTGTTGCATTAGGTGGTAAGAATTCAAGTAAGAACTTTTTTGTTTCTTATAATAATTTACAATACTATAAAAATTCTTACATTATTGAATTACATCTATAATAGTATTGCATTATTTAATAGCTAAGATAATGATAAATAATTTTATTAATTATTAATATTACATTAAGTTATTACATTTTAATGTAATAACTAAGATAATAATTAATAAAATTATTATTATATTAATAATTAAATTATTTAACTCAGTTATTATTTGTCGAAATTAATAAATGAGAGATTTTATTATCTCAGTTTAATTTTTAATTTAATAACTGAGAGTGAGATAATTTAATAACTATCTCACTCTTAATTATTAAATTTCTAATATAAGCGAGATAATATAATGATTTTAATTATAATATCTCAGTTATTAAATTATAAATTAAATTTTTAACTCACTCTCAGTTATTAAATTTTTAACTAACTGAGATAATCAGTTATTAAATTTTTAACTAACTGAGATAATATATATATATATTTTTATTATTAATTACTATACTTTGTTGGTTATGAATTGTTATTGTATTTAACTTGCAAAAAATAAAAGGAACTTAAAATAAACTAAAAAGAAATTAAATTATTTTTCTTAACTAAGTAAAAAACTAATAAATAAAACAAATTATACATGACACACTATGAATGTATACACACTATAAAGTAAGATGAATACATAACAAAATTAAACATATTTAGTGAAATAGAAAAACAACTTTAGAAATCATCCCTTCAAGATTTAAAAAGAAGTTTGTTGAAATGTAGGGAAGATGAAACACGGAATGAAATGAAAGTATTGCTCGTAGCCGAAAACCGTTACGTCAAGAAGTTTTCTCTAATGAGGTGCAAGCCTTGAAACACGTGACCTTTTAACCATAATATCACTTACGATACAGCATACTAAAAAAATAACATTTTAACGCACAAAAAATATCTTTAATTATGGCAAAAGTTTTGGGAATATGATTTGTATTAAGATTTTAGTTTTCGCTTAGTATATATATAGTCTTCAATTAAAAACTTAATGAACTACCTTATACTTTGTTTCGAAGAATTTTAAAACATTTTTTAAACTTAAAGAAAAGTGAAAACAATTCTTGAAAAATTAAAGAAAAATACAAACAATTCTTGTAAAAAATAATTAATCATCGAAAAGTTTTTGGTTTTCTTTTCCAGACAATAATGTCTTAATATATATTATTTATAAAAGCAAATAAAAGCATATCTAATGAGATAATTAGATAGTTTTATAGCAGTTTTTAATTTACGATTTGGAGCAGATATTTAAAATGTTGGGAGTAGTCGTGAAAAAAAAATGAAGATTAACTTACTCCAATGAGTCCTGCTTATAAGTAATATAAAACAATTTGGGAACTGTCTGAAATTCTAGAAAATTTCATAAAATTAAGTTATGGAGGTGGGGGGGATAAAGGATGTAAAAAAAAGAAATATTTTTATCAGAAGTTTCTGAAAATAAAAATATCAAAAATAAAGTCATTCAGTTTTGAATAAATCCTGAAAGTTTCATTAACATTCACTTTGATTTTTGCAAGAATTTCCAATTTAATGTATTTTACACTGGAAACTGCTACACTAAAAATGTCCATTACCACAAGTCTTACAAAGTTGACAGAAAAAAACGAGATTTAGCACGTGTTACAAAAGAGGAAAAAATTTTGAAATATAATTAAAAATACTTTCTTCTTCTTTTAATAATGACATAAACATTTTGAAGCTAAATCTTTGTTTTTATTAAGTTTGGGGCTTTTTATTATCATGCTATACTGTTTTTTTTAGAGAATTATGGGAGATACATATTCTTAACATATTTCTTTCGGTTGTTCAATCATTTCTTCAAATATTTCCAATTTGTCATTCGTTCTCCCGTTTTTCTATTCCTATCAAATTCTTTATTTATTCCCTCATTTTTTTCCCCAGATTTTCTTTTCTGTTTTCTGATGCAAAGTTTCGCCTCTTTTTCTTCCTCGTTTTTCATCTCATCTTTCTTTTTCTTGTTATGATTACTTATTATCTTTTAACTTCTTTCTTTCTTTCTTTCTTTCTTTCTTTCTTTCTTTCTTTCTTTCTTTTATTTCTGTGTTCTATTTGTCTTCCTTTTATTATTTTTTTCTTTTATCACGATCTTTCCTTCACTCACTTTGACTTTACCTTTCTTTATACACGGTCTTCTTTCTTCCCGTCTCTTATTTGATACATAATTTTAATCTTTTTTCTTCTTTATATTTGCCTCTTAGACTATCTTTTTTTTATTTCATTCCGTATTTCTTCTTCATTATTACTTTCTTCTTATTTCACTTTTCTTTCCTTTTCTTTCATCTTTTTTTTTCTCTTTTTTTCTTCACTGATGTCTTTTTTTCTTTTTCTCTACATTTTCCCTCTTCCTCTTTTTCATTCTCTCTCTTCCTGTTTTCCTCTGTGTTCGTCTCATCTTTCTTGCCAATCTTTTTTTTTGGATTTCATTTGTCGTTTATTTTTGCTTTTATTCAAACTTAACATTTTCTTTCTTTCTTTCTTTCTTTCTTTCTTTCTTTCTTTCTTTCTTTCTTTGGTCCCTTCGTTCCTTCCTTCTTTATTCACTTTATCTTTGCCTTTCTTTCATCTTTCTTTCCTTCTTTCTTTTTCTCCGCTTATCATTCGTCTTCGTTTGCTTTCTCTCAAACAAAATTTTCTTTCATTCTTTTTGTATATATTTTCTTCATCCATGCACAAGTCCCTTTCTTATATTCCTTTATTTCTTTATTTCCTTTTTTCTATTTCTCTTAATTCTTTTAATCAGTCTTCTCGTTTCATTTTACAACTTTTCTCTTTCTTTTTCTTTGCATTCATTCCATCTCTTTTTTTTTTTTTATCTCAAACGCAATATTTTTCATTCATTTTATCCTTCATTATTGCATCAAATACTTTCTTTTCCTGACTTTATTAAATTTCTTTGTATTTCAAGATTTTTTTTTTATTTGTAATTCATTCTTCACTGATCACATAATTTATGTCTTTCTTTCTTGATGTCTTTTTTTATTTCTTTTCTTATTCTTTCTTCCTGAATCGACTGGAGCTGCTCAGTGTTCAGCTTCATGCCTCTGTAGAGTCAAAAATCGTCTCCACCCCCTTGAGAGGGGTGGCAAAAGCCTTCCCGCCCTACAGTCTCTTTATCACAGAAGAAATGACGCAAATCTCACATTGATCTATCGCTTTTTCCATGGAAAGTATTCAGACGAACTACCTTCTTTAATTCCACCATTTCTAGCCTTCATGTCTAAGACCAGCCTTATTGTAGATAACCACACTCAATTTTTTCGTATTAAATTTCTGAGATGTAAATTCAACTCGAATAGATTCTCCCCGCGAACTTCTGCTCTGTGGAACCGACTACCAAGGCATTTTCCCGATCACTATAATTTTAACCTGTTCGTCTCGCATTAGCCATTATCTTCCCCTTATATCAGCAAAAAATGTGCCTCTTACTTTGTAACCATCTACCTTGAGTGGCTCCCGGGACTTGTACAGCGTGAACATCACTGTAAAAAAAAAAAAAAAAAAATTCCGGACATTTATTTCGTTCAATCGTTTCTTCTATTTTTTTTTTTTATTTTTTTTTGGTAAGTATTTTCTTTCTTTCAAAGATTTTTTTTTTATTATCTTCGTAAAAATACTTGGTTTTTCCTCTCTCTATCTCCCTCTATCTCTCTTTCTCTCTCTCCCTCCCTCTCTCTCTCTCTCTCTCTCTTTCTTGAACATTTTCGCGTTTCTTATTTTCTTTACTTAATACTTTTCTCCACAGAAAATCTCGTAAAATCTTCCCATCTCACCCACCACAACCTCATGACACACCATTATTCTGTCTGGACACCGATTCCTCCGTATGCCATCAAAACTCCGCGCGACTGCTGATCGTCCGAGCGATAGTCTTTGACAGGTTCACAGAGGAAAAGACATTTATTCGCCTCAACACCTGACCTTTTTGTTGAAAAGATGGGGGAAAAAAAAGTATAAATGGTTTTGAATCTTTCTTTACGACTTCCTTTTTTTTTTTTCTTTCAGGAGTAAAGCCAAATTGCTCTACGGCACAAAACCATTTTCTTTTTTATTTCTTGTCTCTTTATCCGAACATGATCGGCTTTAGTCGGTAGCTGTGTAGGCTGTGGATATACCTCCAGTTTCAAATGTGTCAGCAGTTGATTCAAGATTAAAACGAGATTTTCAAAGGTTGATTAACAAACGGGCAAATTCTCACCAATCATAACGTTGAACATCTATTCGGCATTATGTGCAAAACTAAAAAAAAAAAATGTCTGCTTCAAACTAGCTACAATGATGTCTGTCTGTCTGTTCCTCTCTCTCTCTCTCTCTCTCTGTCTATCTATCTATCTATCTATCTATCTATCTATCTATCCCAGTTTATTCATATTTTACACACTTTCTATCTCACCGTATTCCATCTGCCAATCTATCTATCTATCTATCTATCTATCTATCTATCTATCTATCTATCTATCTATCTATCTTTAGTTAGCTAGCTATGTCATCTATCCCACTTTCTTCATATTTCACACACTTTCTATTTCACAGTGTTCTATCTATCTATCTATCTATCTATCTATCTATCTATCTAAGCAATAAATTAATAAATGTTCAATCGATTTATCTCTTGAAAAATTTCAAAGTTTCTCGGAGAATCTATATATTAGTTTATATATCTGTTCGTATGTTGGCCTGGGAGTATCTATCTAGTCAATAAATTGATAAATATTGAATCGATTTATTTCTTGATATACATCAACATTTTACGTAATACCGCTAATCAAGTCTGAGGTACTATCTATCTATCTATCTATCTGTTCACATCTAAGTATTTATATATCTGGATTTTTTTTCAGTTTTCTATCTACTTATTTTTTTGATGTCTAATCTATCTATCTATCTATCTATCTATCTATCTATCTATCTATCTATCTATCTATCTATTCCTAGCTGTTAATTATCTTTTATTTTTCATCTTTCACTCACTATCGATCTATGTATCTATCTATCCATGTCAGTTCATTATTTATTATTTCTCTCATTATCTATCTATCTATCTATCTATCTATCTATCTATCTATCTATCTATCTATCTATCTATCTATTCCTAGCTGTTAATTATCTGTTATCTTTCATCTTTCACTCACTATCGATCTATGTATCTATCTATCCATGTCAGTTTATTATTTATTATTTCTCTCATTATCTATCTATCTATCTATCTATCTATCTATCTATCTATCTATCTATTCCTAGCTGTTAATTATCTGTTATCTTTCATCTTTCACTCACTATCGATCTATGTATCTATCTATCCATGTCAGTTTATTATTTATTATTTCTCTCATTATCTATCTATCTATCTATCTATCTATCTATCTATCTATCCTCTCATTCATCAATTCCCCTTTGTCCTTAAAATAATTCCTACCACAACCCTTTTTATTTCACTGTTTTCTGACCAAGGACAGTCAGGCAACCTAAATGTTTTTTACATGGACGAAACCTAAGAATACGATGGACGGAGCATCCGACAAATCTCTGACATTTTATTCAACCCTGACCCGGAGTAAATGCGTATTCGCCACTAGGCTATGGGCCAGAGGCCAAAAAAGGGCTTAGATTGTGAGTTCGTGGACATTTTATTCATATGAGAAAATTTCAAGTGTTTCTAGGAGTATTTTTCGTGCTGATTTCAAATCTGAAGAGATCTCCAGGCTAAATGTGCGCACTGCTTCAGAAAAGGGGAGATAATACAGGGTGTGTCATTTACGGAAAAAGTCCATTTTCATGGTTTACTTCATGTAAAATGAACTTTAAATAAGTTTTTTTAGCACATTTAAGTGTATCAACAAGAAGCTGATATATCTATGCTCTTATATTATGTGTTAATTTATTTAATCAGGAGTTTTCAGCAAATAAAATGACTTGCATAAAGCCATAACAATGAAAACGTTACTTTCTATTGTCGTGAGTTTCTCAAATTTGAATAACCTCGTAAAACATTGCAATGTACATTAATTTGATAAAAAAACATGAAAAAACCTTTATATATGTTTCCAAATCTTGTGCCTTCCAAAAATCATAGATGGAAGAACTGTTTTCAAATACTTCTGGTGATTGACTTTTCTTCATTTTGGACTGCCATTTACTTTTTGATGTAATTTTGTCACACATACACATTGACTGATATAGAAATCTTAATGTTTAGACTAACTTTGACTATATATATATAAAAATATTGTAATAAGAGTTTTTTTCAGTTATGTTGAAATAATTGTTATCAAGTAATACATTTATAAAAGGAATTGAAAAATAATTGATTGTCCTCTAATCCTGCAAGCTCATCTTACCATTCGCCCCCTGAGGAGTCAGAATCTTCTATTTCATTAATCTACTGCACTTCTTTATTTTTTTTTAAGTACATTAAAACAATCTATACACTGGCAAAGGTTGGTACATGGCAGTGTTTGACGAACACAAGAACAACGCCTGGAGTTACAGCTGTTCTTCTTACAGTTACACTTTAATAAGTTCATCACGGTAGATGGAGTTTTAGGAAGGCTGCTCCAATGAACAACGATTTTTGGATCTTCACATTTCCAGCCATGATTTGTTGCAGAAGGAGCATTAATATTAATGTGAAGACATTGTCGCTAAATTACAGCCTGGTAATTTGCCCTTTCTGCATGTAACCGTAAACTATTTTTGGCAAGGTGGTAGAGTATTATCCAATTTTCCAGACATATGAAAAATATTAAAACGAGCAGTATTTACAGAAGAAACATTTCTCTGTCCAAATAGACAGCACACAAATTTTTCTAATTGCTGGAACAAATCATCTGTCAGGTGCCAGTTGCAGCCTAAGTGTGAAAGTTTGAAGAAATTCCTCTGTTTCTTTCATTAACTCAAAGGGTTTTATTTTACCCTTTTCCTTAAAGCTGCTAACAGTATCACAGCCAGTGAATGCATGCATAGAAAGTAAGGCACTTGAAAGAGCAGGTCCACATTTCTTTGCAACTGATTTAATAGAGATCAAACAAGATGATCGGTTGGTATTAGTAGCCATATAGAAATCACAGCTTAATTCATTTTGATGACAAGGCAAAGAAGAAAAACATCCGTATCTGGAGTCTTAATGATAATGGAAGGGAAAGCAGTTGATGCATGCTTTGCATGAAGCAAAAGAAGGGTATCGGCTTCTTCATGGTCAGTTGTTAATTCTGGGAAAGTTTCTGTGATTACTTCATTTGTGTCACTATGAGGACACAGCATGAAACATCCTTGGCTAAATGAAGCAATCACAGTTTTTCCATGAAATTCTTCTGCTGGCATTTTTTTCCAATGCATCCACATAAATAAGATGAGGAATTCTTTATTTTCACCAGACATGAGGAATTTTCGAAATTGTACTGGTGTTTTCTGTTTTTCATTCAGAGCACGTAACAGGTGGCATGGGGTAATCAAACAGCGTCTTCTTTCAGAGTCTTTAATACTCCATGGATTGTACTTATCACAGACAAAGTCAACTCTTGATGACATATAAGTAGAAGCAAGCTTGATTACATATCTAAAAACATAAATACTTAGCTCACAAAACCTTGATGGAACATGGTCTGCAAGCTGTTGTATTACTGCCATTCCATCTAATATCAGTGCTGCATTTTTTGGTATATTGTTAATTTTCATATCAGGAAACGTTACAAGAAAATAATGAAATAATGCAGCTTTGTTGGTACGCTGCAAAGAACCACCAATGGTACTTAGGCTAGATGGGAACTCTGAAAGGCAATGTGAAAAAATTTCTTCCAGGTCAACTTTTCGGGTTCTTGCTACTATAAGAAGCCTAGTGAGAAGGTCTTTATTTGCTTTCAAGCAATCTACTTCCTTCTTGCTCTTTTGTTGTGAATGCTTTTTCTGAAGATCACTAAAAGTTTTTATCTTCATTGATTTTAATGGTGCATTCAACTCCACATTTTTCAAGCCTTGTTCATGTGCTGTCAAAATGTCATCTTTAATTTCAGAAGATGCTACTTGGCCAGATGCAATGTTAATTAATTCTTTTTCACAATATGCAAATGGATTTTGCATAGACTCAATTGTCTGCATGAAACTCTGAATATCTGCTTCATCCTTTTGATATCGAGAACTACTCAGGTCTTTTTTTATTATGGCAGCCCTCTCCTTTTCCAGCCATTTCAGTACAGTTTTTAGAGATTTGAGCACGTTGATTAAAAGATAAAATCCAACGATGAACAGCATTGTCATTATTTGAGAATCCAATCTGCCCACCTCTGGTCTTGCTATCTCTATTCATTGTCTGTTCAATCGTCTGATCCATTGCCGTCTGACTAAAGGGGTACTGGTTTTGTTGCTGAACTACAAAATTCCCAGCAGCAAGATGCTTTGCTATTGCAGAGTGGTATCTGGAAGAGCAAGCATCTCATAGATATAAACAGGAAGATATCTAGCATAGTTCAAATGGTCATATGCAAAATACCAAGGTACCATTTCTGCTGCTGATTTAAGGTGAAGGGCCCAATCTCCTGTTCGTGTAGCACGAATAAAATTTAAAAACATATCTGCCATATTCAAGTAACTCATCCAAAATGCAAAAGTTGGAAATTGGCTGCATCTCTCTTGAATAAATAAGGATAGTTTTCTTTCAAACTCTTTAAAATCATTTGATGTGCAGAGATCTTGGAATTGTGTTTTGGGTAAAGCATAATATAAAGTTTTAGACAATGCAATGAATTTAGCTTTTTCTTCTTCACTTTATGTTTCAATAAAAGTAGATAGGAGTTTCCAATGACACTGAGAAACGACATGCAGCTGTGGAACTCACCAAGTCTGACAACTGTTTTTTGCATATACATGGCATCATTCCAACATACTTGCTGTGCTTTAGCATAAAATGCAAGATCAAATGTTAATACAATACATTCAGTTTCAAGCTTATCAGCAATAGCAAGAATTTTCAAAAATACTGCATTCACAGTACTTAGTTGAGTTGGGTTACCAGTGACCAGAGGCAAATATCCAATATTGCTTTTTGGTGGTATTTGGTCCTGTAATAAAAGAATATTGAAACCTGTCCAACCTGGAATTGGTGTAGTGTTTTGGTTGTCACTTTCACAGTGCATATTGATCATGGTCATAGCCAAATCAGTAATGCTTATTTTGGTCTCACAAAATGATTTAAATAAAGCATTTTGAATGCTGTCAATTGAAACTGAAGGTAGAAAAAAGGGCCTACTCTTTTTGCCACATAAGAGTTATTTCAGTAAAAGAAATAATTTTTTCATTCGTATTAATTGACTCAAAATGTATTGCACAAATATTCGGGGAATTCATTTTCGCCGTATTTTAAAATTTTTGAATTTAAGGGAGATAACTACTAGCCTAAGAAACGTCATATTTACTCAATTATTACCTCCCTTCCTTGTTTTTTTATGCTCAGATTTACCGATAAAATATTCAATTTAAAATGCAACTTATAAAAAAAATGCGCAATTCTCACCTGGAGAACTTATTAGATTTAGACTCTACGGCATCGAAACACCCGAAATCAAGTAAAAATTTTTCATATAAATTTTATGTCCACGGAATGAAACGAAAATCGACCGTGGCCTATAGCCTACACCGCTATTTCCAAGATGTATCACCAACAAAGACATTTTGTAAATGTTCCACCAGCGCTGCAATTTGTAGATGCTTTGGTGGGCTCATATAAAACAAAACCCGAGTTTCCATAAAGATGTCCTGTAAAAGCATCTAGGGCAGGCCCTTGAAAAATTATAGGATATGTCAGAATTTTAATTTACTTTTTGTTTGTACTCTCATGTTAAAAAAAATTGAAAATCGTTGAATCTTTTAAAAAAAAAAAAAAAAGCGATAACTAGAAGATATAATGCATGTTTTTATACAATCTTTGACCATATGCATTGAACAAGAGCTATCAAAATATATTTTTTCAGCGGCTAAAAGCCGTTACCGAATTACAAACAAGGTCCAGGTTTAAAGTGGGTTTAACGGCAATACCGTGTGAAAAAAAATTGCTGAAGCCCCTTCGGCATTTCCACTTTAAGTGACACCTCAGGCGCCGGGCAATAAACGCAGCCTTCTCCCAGAAGTGACGTCCTGCCTAGTGGGAAGGTACCCTTGGGTTTGGGCTATTTTTTTTTTAATGCTTTCCCGGCATGTGCCAGAAAAGTAGATGCTAACTAAATAAGGCTGTTGTAAAGACGTAAGGGGAGGATACAAGAGGTGTTTATTGTAGGGGAATATTGGATAGATCACGTTTATTAATTGACTGGGAGGTTAAGATCGCAGTGATCGAGGAAGCATACCTTCGGGTGTCTGTGATGCAAAGTAATAGCTCTGGTCGAAAAAAAAACTGTGTGGAACTACTTTCTTTGC